TAGCAACCTACAACTTCCCTCAAGGGGAGGGAAGAAAAGGTCAGACACAAAGTGACAGTGCTGCAGTAATGACACATATGTACAATTTGGATCTGGCAAAGGCAAGGGGCTGGATTTGATCACAAGGCTTTAAAACTGTCTCTTGGACTTTTCCAGCCATGAGGACCCATGACGTGAAGTTCTCCAGCACACGACTTTTCCAAATGCTCCTCTTCTAGAATCGTTTTCAAACACGTTCTCGAAGCAGGTATTCAATGAAGGCACAGTAACAATTCCTTGGAATTCGGACGTTTCTTGTCTCGTGAGTTCGTGCTCTTCTCCAAAGACAGATTTCACATCACATCTAACATATGATAAAGTGCAATAACTGTGTGACAGAAAGTTGTTCCTCGAAATGAAGTTTGAGTTTAATTTAATATTCATAATCAATTGTTAATTAAGAAATTTTGCATGCATCAGATAACATTTGTATCAAATGTAGAGTACTGAAAATGTGCTGAATTATAGACTTCATCTACGTTTGATAAGAATATTTGAAATTGATAACTTATATATAAATATTCAAAGTTCTTGTGTATTAAATGATAAATTAACACTTCCAACTTTGTTTCAGCTTCTTGTTTGAACACATGTTTGCTCATAATCTTTGGACTTTCCAAAACATCCTCACAACATTTACAGTTTACTCGTGTACGATTATCAAAAACATCATATGAGTAATTTGAGCTTCTGTAATGAAAAGATTCTAAAATCTAATGAATTACTTGTACTTACAGTCATACCTTTCAAAATTATTACAGTCAAAAATATATAAAATTTCATTCATATTGACTTTTTGATAAATGATTTGAATACTCCTTGACATAACTGTGTATCCTGTAATAAGTAATGACATTCATAGAACTAGATTAAAGAAAAGAGATGAAATTCAGAATACACATTTTATAATAATTTCAAAGAAACAAAAATGGGATTTTTTTGATTTAATGTTCCTTGCGAATTTGATCGTTCCAAGTCTATAAAAATTGCTAAATTTATTCAGGTGAAATTTTTATCCTTGAAAAAATATTATTTTATTTAATTTTATATTTATTTGTTTTTTGGCTATCCTTAGAACAAATTTATACCTTTAATTTTATCGACGTCATGAAAAAATTTCAAAATACAATAATAAGTCATTGAATGTTTTCAACAACTTAAGTGAGAAGAACTTAAAACATCAGAGTAAAATTATACACATAGGGCTGTAATTTGTATCCTACAAATTTACTTACATATATTTTACCACAAAACATAAACCAATGATTATTTTTCATGTGCAAAAATAAACATATTTCATGAAAATAACAATTTTTTTATACTGTTGTTAAGGAATATGAAACTTATTCCATAAAAACTATTAGTTCTGGGAGAATCAAATATGAGGTTAGAGTAATTTTTTGTAAGAGTGTACAATAAGATATATTGAAAAATGTAAATTTTGCAATGTCAATAGACTCATAAGAACTAACAACAGTTTCTCAAATAGATTTTTTAATTTTTATGATGTATTTTATGTATAAATTAAATTATTTTATTATCATAAACATAGCATTTTTGTTGCGTGGTTATTATTATTTTGTTACTAAATTTATTAAATTTATTTAACATGGGATCATGTTTTGAATCATATAGTGATATTTTTTCATTCACTTATTTCTAATAATATTAAATTTTAAATTTTAAAATTAAGTGGAATTTTTTTGTGTGGATATTTATACCTATTTGAAGAATTTTTTTAATATTGATACATTTTATGAAAATGTACATGATAATAAAAGATGTACAAGTTATTAAGATAATTACATAATGTTCTTTTATTTTATCTCTATATACGTTTAGTTGTTTTGATATGATATATATCATTTACATATTAATGATAAATTTATTTGTATGAATATTATATTCAACTATCAACGAATATAAAATCAGATAATTTTGACCATTTAACAATAATGTGCGTGATGAACTCATTTATAAAATTTAATGTAAAAAATCTACATAATAAGTGCATATTAACTGTTCCTGAACATTTACAAATCCAAAATGAAAAACCATTAGATCAATAAAAATATTCAACATTTCATCCAAATTAAAAACTAAACAAATGTGAAGACAAATAATAAAACTGTGACGATATTGTGATAAAAAATTGCTTTCATTGCATACAAGAATTTAACTATCAAAATGAAATAATGTACAAGCTAACAACAAACTATGATGTTGAGTATATAATATGATTCATTTGTAAGTTCATATATGACGCAAACCAATAAATGAAGTAAAAGAATGAAAAAATGTTGCACAAATCATGAAATTTATTTGATACTATTTATGTTAATTTTTATTTTTTACGAATTATTATAAATTATTGATATATTATGTTGTCTAATAACTAATTTATGTTGGAATGAAAAAATATTACTTATGAGATTCTTGAGAAACTGGAAAACATTTTTTGGATCCAAAAAAGATCAATTTTCGTGATGATATGACTTCGACGTACTTGCAGTCTATCGTCATCCATGTTTTGATACAAAATTATTGTAATTTTATAGTTGGAGAATATAACGTGGAAGGATACAATTGAAATACTTTTTTGTTTTGCTCTGCAAAAGTAGAAGAAGCACCCTCAACGTAGTATTGGATGTCAATTGTAAATCGATCAATTGATCTTGAAGATGTAATTGAGGTTGACCAATTTTCAGCTTAAGACAAATTAGCATTATCTCTTGTTTTGTTCCTTCATTCTCTTTCACTATGTAATATTTTGTTGGTTTTGCGCCTTCATGAACGTGGATTGATCGATTGGATATGAAGGTGTGATTGAGTTGGATTAGTCTTCACCTGGAAGGAAGTACACGAATTTTCACCTTTTTCCTTCATTTTTTTCTCCCTCTTATTTTTGGTGTGTTTAATGATTTCTTCGACGCATAGAGATTGATTGAAAAAAAATGTGATTGAGGTTGATCGATCTTAAACTAAAGAAAACTTAGCAATATACTTTTGTCTGTACCTTCAATATCTTTCGCTATGTAAATTTTTAAATTCGTTTTTTGTGCCTTCGTGAGCACATTTATCTGTCATCTGAAGTTTGAATGTTAAGAAGATTGGTGCACTTGGTCCGGTGACAAGGAAATATTAGGAAATTTTTTTGACTAAAACATTGATCTCAGAAAGTTGCATCATGACAAGCTCATGAAATAATGGTCAAAAAAGTGAAAAGCATGCATGTTTAGATACTTGTGCGTGATTGATATTAAAACATGGACAACGGTGTGTTGTCGATGGGATCCTATGCAGCTAAATGAATCTCGTCGGGTCTTAGTATACATTAGTTTTACATAGACGTTCTATTAAGTAATTTAATCTGTTAAAATTCATGTTTAAAAGCTTCATATAAGTAAAATTGTAGAAAAATATAATGTCGATCTTCTTCACAATTTATATATTTGATAACATTTTTGCTATCACACTCATAATTTGATGAAAATACAAAGAGACCTTATACTTTCAAAAACAATGTTCCACTAGGTATAAGGTGAGTGTTCATTTTCTAAATAATATTAAACATGTGTAGCATATTAACAATAATCATCTATTGGGTTTATCACAATTTTTAACTAAATATAGATACATTTCAATACTTTATAGCAAGATGATAAGATGTGCACATAAGTATAAACAAACATGAGAAATTTAGACAAATATATACAATGAGGTTTTAAAGAAAGTGGCTAGTTATCACTCACTTGGGGCTACTTAGACTTCACCCTAATATACATCTTGGTCGAACAACCTATACATGTTATTGCATCCATACTACGTGCATCTACTACTGTACTACCTTGCATCCACAAATAACAAAACTGCGTATATTACATTGAGGGCTAATTAGACCTAACTGATGGATAACTAACCGCTTGAATGAGTCGCATTTCTACGCCTATATTAATACGGGTGGAGCTGCCAATGGGGAGGGGACATATAGCCGTCACCAGATTCAAATGGTAATGGATTAGAGTGGAACTCTTACTTTTGTAGATTGAGATCGTGCACTCTTGACTAAAAATTCTACCATTTGAAAATGGTACTTGCCAAATATATTGGGGAGACACGTCTACACGTAATTGACTAAGAATTGAGATTGATTTAGAGTGTAACATTTTAACATTTCAGCACTCTAGATCTGCATAATGACATTCACCTCAAAACTATTCCGGAACAAAAACGTTGAAATTCTGGATTCATAATTGTGAAATTTGCATCCTTGTTTCGTATCTAGTATCTTGGCAAGAGATATGTTTGCCATCATTGGAATAATCAGGAGTTTGTCATGAACGGTGGATATTTTGCTTTGACACTAATGGTCTAGATTGTCACCGAGTAACAAGGTTGAAAGAATCATGGACAGCGCGAGGTTCCGTTCCAATGCTATGGCCACATAGGTCCATATGGCTTGCAATTACTTAGATACTTCAGTTCTCATTGACTTCTCTTAGCCTAAATTAACATTATATGAGACTAAATTAAACTAATTTAGTCGATTAATCAATATAAGCATGCCCGAGTATAATAGATTAGTGTGTAGATTTATGTGTTGTATTCCGCACATAATGATTTCGGCTCTACAGAAATGGGACATGTGTAAGTTTTAAAAGGAGGGATTATTGGTTGCCGGACTTTTTCCTCGTTCTTTACAGGGTGTTTGTTTGGCCAGTTGAGATGCAATGTATAGGTTTTTTTTCACACGCGATACCATTATCTTATCATCCCTAGTTTTCGGGAGTATTAGTAATTCGTGTCTTCCAGGATGATATGTGGAAATGTAAGTCGCAAACGTAGCGAGTTTTTATGCTTGGTATATACAATGGATGATGGGTAGGCACGGCCTTGTTCAGCACATGATTGTTGCTGATGTAAAGATGTTAGAATATCCATCGTGATCGCCAGGGAATAATCTGGATTAGTGACACTATTACACGTACCATCAAGAAAAGACGCTCACCTAGTCGAAGTTCCGCACAACGCCGAAGATAACGATTAAAGAATACTGACACAGCGAGCCTTGTAAGAGAAGTTCTTGTGAGGAGGATTGTTACAGTAACGTCCGGCCCAGGTCGGAGGGCGAAGAGAGGATGGCCACGCGTCACACGAGTTTGAAAGTCCATGACCGTTCTTCTAGTCCGGACGTTGCTGTTGTAGCGAACGATGCCGGCGCCAGCGCTCGCGAAGGCCGCGGTTCTTGCAGGAAAAGGCGTGCTCATCATGCACAGGACGCTCAGGGCGGACGGCGGAAGCAATTGAGTTCGAACGCAAGGCAGAGCGCAAAATATCTTGGCGACGGGGCGAAAATTTCGTGCGCCCAGTCTGAAAGTGTCAGAAAGTCTAGAAATATCTGGGCGCGGGAGGGAATGCGGCATCGGCGATTCGCGAAGGGCCGGGGGTTTTCGGGCGAAAAAAAAGAGGATTCAGATACGATCCGGTCCGAGTCGATATTCATCGGCGAATGATGTGATTAGCGCGTAGGCGAGGAGGAGGAGGAGGGAGCGGGGAGCGCCTATAAAATGGAGCAACAAACCCTAAGAAGGCCTCTCTTTCCTGGGAGCCTTCCGCCGCTGGTTCTAGTTGCCTCCGCGCAACTCCGCTTTCGGTTCTGGTTCTCTTTTGATCGATCGGGTACGTAACGGGGTTCTAATCTTTCGGATCGAGGTTCGTTCGAGGTTTGGTTCTTCAGATCGGTCGGGTTCGAGAGTTTTTACTTTTCAGTTCGCATCGATCGTTGGTTCGACAGTCGTTGTTGTAAGAGGAGAGAGTGTGTGTGTGATTATTCGACATGGCAGCCGTATCAACTGCTCCCGAGTACAGATGTTTCGTAGGCGGCCTTGCATGGGCCACCAGTGACAGCCGCCTGGAAGAGGCCTTCAGGGTTTTCGGAGCTGTGACCGAGTCGAAGATCATCAGCGACCGTGAAACCGGTCGTAGCAGAGGCTTTGGATTTGTCACGTTCGCCGATGAGAATGCCATGAAGGAAGCTATCGAGTCCATGAATGGCAAGGAGCTCGATGGTCGCAACATCACCGTCAACCAAGCTCAGTCTAGGAACGGTGGTGACCGCGGTAGCGGTGGTGGTGGTGGTTACCGCAGCGGTGGAGGCGGTGGTTATGGTGGTGCTGGTGGAGGCGGTGGCTACAGCCGGGATGGAGGGAGTCGCAGCGGAGGTGGTTATGGCAGCGGTGGTGGTGGTGACCGTGGGTACGGTGGAAGTGCCGGAGGACGTGGTGGCGGATATGGAAGCGGTGGTGGTGGTGGATACGGAAGTGGTGGTGGCGGCGGCAGCGGCCGATCCGGTGCTAGCAACTGGAGAGGTGGAAACGACCGACAAAGCGAGTACTGATTAAGTCGCTGTCAGATTTAAGCCGTCACAAGTTCGGGAGCCAGGGCTCTTTCGGCTCTCTTGTTCCTCATGTTCTTCGTTCACCTTCGGTCCCGACACCTTCTTGACACGGGCCTCTTGACTGGAGGTTTTCGATACCGCTTCGGAAGTGGTTCTTAGTTCTCAGTTCTGTTCGTAAGTTTTGGTATATTTGGTTGCTTGTTGGAGCAGGAAGACCGTTTAAAGTCATATTTTAAGCTGACGACTGCTCGTCTATGTTATTCTGCTTGCCACACGATGGCTTGCAAAGTTCCTAATGGTTTCTCTCAGTTCCGGTTCTCTTGGTCGAGTCACTTTGTCACACGTCATGGATCTGAAGTTCTTCATTCGGTGCTGTTACTCTTGACAGCCAGTTATGTAGAGGTGAATTAGCCAACTTACATTCACTTTAAATGGAGTAATCATCTGTCTTTATATGCTCCGTGTATCCCTACGCGTTCAGTGGGAAGTGTGAGTGAATATGTGCCTTAGCAACCGCAGACGAAATTCTCATTTTTTACTAAAAGTAGTTGTGAAACTAATGAACGTAGTTTGGTTCGAGAATAAGAAATTTACCTAGTCACAGACAAGATGGAAAATAACGATGATTTGCATTAACAAAGATTAGACCATAACCGGAAATATTGTCTGTTAACAAGAAAAAATATCCTTTCACATAGTTTTTCATATGTAAACTAGCGTTTGTGGAGAGAAAAAGAATGGTTATACTTTACTAATTATTATACAAGTAGTTAACATTTATAGTCTAAACATGAATATTGGAAAATAATAGAAAGAGTAAAATATTGTGACGAAAGAAAATTTTACATATGAGTGTATAACATGTCGCATGACACGTAATTCAGCTCTTATCAGCCATCAGTAAAACACATTGTCAAAGGGAAGAAATATTGTAAGCTGCATCTCTTAACAGTCTACAATAGAACACGTTTTCAAAGGGAAGAAACATTTTGGAGATATAATAAACACAGGAAATAGTACTTACGGAAACTAAACGAACAAAACGCAATACCCACCGTCTATACTACTGAATAGTTGATAACATCACTGTGGAAAAAGCACCGATTTGCAAGATGCCACCAAGAACAGTAGAGAAGAAAAATTATAAAAGTTAAGAACTACTATATAACTGATTCAGCTAAAGGAACATGTTTCTAAAACAATCTCATCTAGTATCTTCAAATGTTAGAAAAGGTTTATTGCAGAAAAATTGTGTAGCCTAAAGTATCGAATGAAACTCAAGTATAAACTATTGATTATAATAAGACACCTTTCGATCGCGTGGAGAGTGAAGAAGAAACTTTTACAAGAAGAATTGGACAGGAGAAACTAAAATTCTTACAATATTCTTCTCCCCATCACATACATCAGAAGTGTGAAATTCTCTTGATGCTTCTCGACTTCTTTCTATAGATTTGATCGTCGACCATCACATACATCAGAAGTGTGAAATTCTCTTGATGCTTCTTGACTTCTTTCTATAGATTTGATTGTCACATGTGTCAAAGGATGGCCAGCGTACTTGATAATTTGGTCTTTGAGGTAGAAGTTGACGAAACCCTATTGGAACTTGCAACGTTGCATTACGAGAAGTATTAGTTTTTGAACATTATTTGAAGCAAGCCTGGCACCAAGATGTAGTTTTAACAATCTCATGTGACTTGTTTATTGTGAACAATATCAACTAATTGTAGTAATCTCATCGACCTTACGTCATATTATTACTAGACATAGAACTAGATTTCATAGACTTGGAATTGAGTAAATACATTAGCTTAATATTGATAGGAATAATTGTATTTGTAGATTATGTGACGGTGGGTACATTGAGTATGATGAGCATGTATTTGTTACTTGCTTTAAGTACGAAGAAATTAATCTTGCTCATAATATAGATGTAGAGAATTTCTATTCTTTGTTACAGTTAGTTTTTTTTGATTTAGGTTGTTATGTTAGGGACATTATTAGTTACGGTTCTAGTGCTCTTGGCACTATCTAGGGATTGGACTTAGTGATCTTTTATCTTGTTTGTGGTTATTGCTTGTATTGTGTTTTTCAGCCTTTTGACACTTTGGTTCCACCGAGCTTGATCTAATACCATTTACTGCCCTCAACTACTCTACAAAATAGACAAAGTAATACGCCACGCCAAACTTAATATGGAGAAGAATAAATACCACGATACTCTGAAACTTTGAAAAGTCTTGTAATTTCTCGCCTAAGTACGCAACTCTTTCAACACGCATAATAGAAGAAAAATGCACTCATTAACAATTTTAGTAATTTAGTTGTAATATTTCAAAAATTTCATTGTAGCAAATTTTCTCAGGCATATTCTTGGATTTCAAGCTTTGATTGCAATTGTTGGTACTTTCTGAAATCATCCAATGAATCTTTTGCTTTTGTATTCAACTTCAGTGCACATAAACTTGAAATCAATAATATGCTTTTACAAAATGTTTCAAATCCATGATTTCATAGAATTACTATTCTATGAAATCATAGAATAGTAATTCTATGATTCTACAACTTCATCTGTCAATTAACATCTTTGTCTTCATCAACAATTGTTTCGTTAATCTTCATCTAATTCAACAATTGTTCAATGTTTTCCAACATTGTTGCATCATATTTTTCATTGCTTTGCTAATCAATGTGAATAATTTTGATATGTCAATCTAGAAATTTAAGTTTTTTTTTATGCTTTGAGCTAAATTAGAGAAACCACATTAATTTTGCTCTCACATCTCGGTTGAGGTTCCAAATTCATGAACTCTACGCTACAAAATGCATTGTTTATAGAGCTTGACGAGTCAGATTCCTAGTGTTCTTTTACCTAGCTTGCATCATACAACAAGTGCGCTGGATTTTCATAGAAAATTCTTGCTACTACTAGTTTAGTAGTTTTTCTAACTCTATTTTTGGTTGCTTCAACTCCTTATCAGATTTATAGATATCGATTATATACTTGAGACACAAATATTTGTATTTTTTTTGAAAAACAATAATGATTCCCATATCACAAGATTGTTTTCAACAGGTACAGTTTGGAATAAAAAACACTACATTGATGTTGTCGCGTTTGAAAACATCAAGGTGTCATGACGCATTATACATCAGTAAGAGAACTGGACATCTTGTTCGTCTTTGAAATTTGGAACAAAGATTTTGTTGAACCACTTCCAACAGGTTTTCACGTTCATCCTCTCTTTCGCTTGATTGAACTAAGAAATTGGCCTGTGTCGGTCTTTGATACTCGATGAATCTTTTGATTTTGCAAATGCGTTGGCGCAAACTATTAAGAGAACACATCTCAAATTTTTTTTGCCTCTAGTGCTTGATATGTAATCATTTAATATAAGAATAGAATGTTTGGAAAGCAAATGAAAAAACAACCCATTCTTATTTGTGTTGTAGACGTTATCAAGGTTGTATTCAACGATGATGAACAATAATTTCTCTAGGGCTAATAGTAATTTTGGATCACTGTCATCAACCTTAGCAACTTCTTCATGGATAAGATTGTCTGTAGAACTCGACGTGTGTTAAAACTATCAAACTATTGCCATGGATACTTAAAATCTAAATAGAAAATAGATAACGTTGAAGTTACACCTTTTGCTTTTGCAATGGCAAAAGATGCGATAGAAGGAGCTTGGCACAACACATGCTGTCAATCGAGATGAACAACATATCTTCAAGTTCGAAAAATCTTCCAATTAAAGCTCTCAAGATATTCTACTTAGCTTTTTCAAAAAGTAAAGCGGATCGTTTGAGATGAAATACTCTTTCTTTTTTCCAAATCTTAAGTATAGCGGCTTTGCTAATTTCATATTCATGCAATAGAACGCGTTTGCTTGGAGTGTTCTTCATTCTCAATTTTGAATTGATCTCGTAACGATTGATCTCTCAGATGATTGGTGCTCAATGTTTTCAACATGAAAGCGATATGCAAGGGATTTGAAAATGAAGATGTTAAGTACGCATCTATCAAGTAAATACTCAGAGAATATTAGGATTCAATTTGCGCAGTTCAGTGAAAGACAAATCTACATTGAGTAGGAAGAATAAAGATGTAAGGTATAATAATATCTAAATTGCAAATAATACACCATGTAGACTATTTAATGCGTACTCAAGAGTTCACACTATCACAATGTAAGATACATCTATGTTTTACTATTTTTAAACAATATTATCACAAAAGAATGGAATATTAAGAGTCTTGAAGTTTTTAAGAACTATTGTTATCGTCATAACATTAAATTTTCATAAATTTTATTATACTATTTAGAGTAAATCATGAGAGTAGATTAATACATATGGCCAAAAATTAATATAGCATAATATCTAATTTGTAAAAATCACAAGTTTATACTAAGATGACTTTTGGTAAAAAACATTTACAATGTTCAAATTAAAGTATACAAACATTCAAAAAATATTTGATTCTTCTCGCAAGTAATGTTAAGGCAAATACATAGATAATATTCAGCGTGAGTATTAGACTCGTTGCAATATAGCAAAAAATTATTTTAGTTCAATCAGGTAATGATAAGGCAATGACACAAATAATATTCAGCGTGAGGAGCAGACTTGTTGTAGTACAGCAAAAACAAATCAGATAATGTTAAGACAAATACACATATTATAATTAGTGCGACATAATAACATAATTGTCATAGTACAACAAAAACAAATTCAATTAGAAAAATGTTAAGGCAAATTCACAAATAGTATATAGCGCGAGGAGTAGACTTGTCGTAGTACAACAAAAACAAATCTAGTTCAGTTTATATTTGAAAGTTGATTGTCTTGATACTTTGAAATCACTATCACTGAAATTGCCTCACCAACGCACTGTCCTTAACTATGGTTACTCTAACAATCTACCCCATAACTCAAGTCGTGGAACTAACAAACTCCTTATTCTATAAATTTTGTCTATGAAAAATTCCAGATATTGTGGGAATTTGAATTCTCAAAACCAACGGAAATCACAGTACATATACACAAACAAACATAAGAATTTGTTGACGATGTTCATCTAAAAAGCCTCGTCTTCGCCAACTCCTCAATGAAGATAGTTCAAGGATATAACCAAGATCAATGTTGCCGGATTTTTACTTCTCATCATCTTTACAAAATTTCATTCCGGTGAGAAATACACAAAGACAATCAATCCTTTTTCTCGAGCAAGAAAAATCCTTCCTCATAGATGATTACCTTTCTTTCAATTTGTCTTCCAATTTTCACTTTTGATTTTTCTTGAAATTCCCTAACTATAATGAACACCTTAATCCGTTGACTAAGTTCTAATCATCATGACTTAGAACAAAAAAATATTAGAATGAATCAAAGCCGTCAATTTCTAAATAGACCATTGAATATAGACACATTAGCGAGCTGATTACTAAACAAATAAAACGACAAAAAATTTGAAGAAAAATGACATGTAACTGAAGCTAATATTTCATGATCTGCATCTCTATCTTTCATTTTGATCTTGATCACATATACTCAAACTTGCTTCTAGTACTTCATTGATTCATTGTTTGATTTTCCTCAATCACTTTGCATCAACTTCGAGAAGCTTCAAACATAATCAAAACTTTTCC